CCTTCCACTCTGACCACAAGAGCCAAGGACAAAGTCCCGCCCCATGGGCACTGCCCTCTGCGGGGGAATCCATGGCATAAACTGCAGCACATGTGCTCAGGGCTGAGAAGGTGCACCCAGCAGGTCTCAGGAAGGAAGCGCTGGAAGCCTCCCTCTCTCCTCCTGCAGTGCCCTTATCCAGTATCTGCCCCAGCCCCAAAGTCTCTCTCTGTTTTCCATAATTGGGATGGCCACTTGAATAGAGGAAGGGAGAAGGAAGACTGGAGAGTGCGGTGGCAGAGCTGCCTGCTTAGGTGTCTCATTGCTGTTCTCTGGATCCAGCGTCCTGCTGGTTAATGGTGACAGTGCTGGCACTGTGATTGGGAGGTAGGGAGAGGCTTTGGGGGCCACCAGGTTGACCATATTCTACTTTCTTCTCAATCCCCTTGGTGGCCCCATCTGAGGCTGCTGTGAGTACAACTCCTGGGGGCACCATTCATATTGTGTCTGTTTCTACCAGAAGAATTTCCTCCTGGCAGTCTAATTTCCATCTTCCTCTCTCTAATGGGTACCACACCTACTTTGGAAAAACCTGAACAAGAACTCCAGATTTAGGAATGTAGAATTTGATGTAGCAAGTATCCAAAGTTCCATCTCATCCAGCCAAGAAGATGGTAATCATTGGATGCCACCCTGTAGAGCTGTCTTGTCCTCACTCACAGGTGTGCGTGCACCAAGGGCAGGTTCTACCTGCAGTGCAGGGAGGGCACCCACACCTGGATACCAAGATCCAGGCTTCGTATGCCTAAGACTCCTGGCTGTCCAAGGTGGTGCCCCTGCCACCTAACCCTGACCTGGAAGGAGCCAGAGAGGCATTGTGCTGGACTAAGGGAGGCCAGTGGCTTCATTTGATAGTTGGGATAGTCGGACAGCAAGAAGCCCACCCAGGCTGGCAGCACGTGCAGGAAGAGCCAGCTGCCAAAGAGGCCAGCTCCATAGGTGGCCCAGTTACTCATCTCCCCAGATGCTAGCTGCTGAGCTTTCAAGAGGCAGTGAAGCACAGTAGTCCAAAGCATGGGTTTTGGGGTCAGTTGGCCTGGGTTCAAATCCCACTTCCATTATTTCCTTTCTGTTGGCAAGCTCTTTTTCCTCTAGGAGCGTTAGTTTTCTTATTCGTAGAATGGGTTTAGTTTCTTGGGTCATTGTAAGGATTAGTGAAATAGAGTCTGCAGTCACTCCCTAGGGGGCAGTAATAAATACCTGGCTTTCTAGCGTCTATTCCCAGTGGCCTAAGCCCTAAACTCTTTCCTTCTCTTCCCTTTCTACTTTTATTCTTCTTCCCTGGACCAGCCATCCAGGAGATATGGAACCTTCCAGTGGCATCATTATTCTATTCCAGGGTAACTTCAAACAGGTAATTCAGCGGGTGATGTTTTTAATGAAGGGCATAGGTTTTCTAGGGGTGTCTGCACTGTCCCATTCAAAGGCAGGGGAAGGTCCACCTGGAGTCTTGGGGCCTGGCAACTCTATGAATTTGTGAAATCCGTATTACTGTCATTACAGGGCCACCACTCCTGGGTCCACAATTAGCAAGAAGTTCCTCCTGGGGAGACCGCAGTGTTGTGTGCAGTCCTGGCAGCGTGGTACCACCAGGGGGCACTGCCCAGCTGGTCCCTCCGCCCGACTTTCAGCAAGGGGAGGAAGGCAGAATTAAGAGCCCTGGGAGGGAGACAGGTTTGACCCTTAGACAGCGGGACACCGGGGCGGGGGGGAGCTAGCCTGGACCTGGAAGGTGTGTGATCTGGCAGGCTGAGAATGGCACTAGCAGGGACTCTTAACATCAGCTGGGCTCTTTACAGTTTGCCTCCTATTCCCAACACACCATTCCATCTTAGGACAAATGGGACAATGCCCAGTGAACTGAGGTACAGAGAGGTGAAGTGGCTGCTCAAGGTCACATAGCTGGTAAGTGGCAAAGAGAAGACCCCTCCTAGGCTTGCCTGTTGCCAACTCCAGGGCCCGGGCATTTGGCTAGCGGGAGAGGCAGCACAGTGAGGGGGAAGCGGCATCTTGGGAGCCTGCCTGTACTTCCACCCAGCGTGGCTGACCATTCCTATCCACTCCTTTCCCCTCCTTCTACCCCATGGGATCTCAGTGACCATCTCCTCTATTTGGGGGGAGTTGGTAAGGGGCTCTGGATCAGCACGAGTGGAGCTGTCAGTATTCAACCAAGACATGTGAATTTCCTGTACCTAGCTTGGCCTCTTTAGGGATGATAATCAGTCTTGCCAGAGACTTCTCACACACCCTCGCTAGCCATGGGTACCCCAGTCTTCAATTACATCCCGAGTCTGGGGGCAGATCCTAGGATGCAAGGGGACATGGGCAGCTGTGCTAACCAGGGATGCCTCAGGCCACCATGCCCTAGATTTTAGGTACCGTGATAAATGTTGTATGTACACCCTCAAGTAATCCTCACAGCCCTGAGAGGCATGCTAGTATCATCCCCACTTTACAGAGGAGGAACCTGAGGCTCAGAGAGTACTTGAACAGGTCTGGAGAAGCGGTATAGCTTTTCCTCCATTTCTGCCACTGACACGCTGGATGCACAGGGCTTGGGTCTCCGATAGGAATGTAAAGGGCACGACGGCTGGTTGTCCGCAGCAAAGGCTTCCTGAGTACCAACTCTTGGGCACAAGGAGGAAGGCAAGAGCTGGCCTTTTAGGAGCTTACAAACCCAGGGGGTCCAACAGAGCTGGGTTTGGGTAAGTTGCAGCGATATTTGCAAGCCATCATGCCCAGAGGCCAGCAAGAGCAACAGGAGGCTACAGTCATCAGTGAAGGCTGATGGGGGGTTGGGAGAGACTGAGCTTGTCATCAAAGGGGGAGGATGAGTCTGCTCTGCAGAGGGGAGATGGAGGAGACCTGTGAGCAAAGGCTAGGACTTTAGTGTCCCAGCCTGGGAGGGGAAACGAGCAGGAGAATGAGGGCTCCTCCCTGGGGCACAGCCTTGGCCTTCAGGACAGAGATAAGCTGCAGGAAGGTGTGAGTGCCCAGGGAAGGCAGTGCCTCATCAAGTACATGCTTTATGATGCTGGCACTGACCTTAGTAGGAAAAATGAGGTTTTGCATTTACTATAGTCAGAAAACTGCCTGCCTCAGTGGTGTGTGTATGTTTGAAGGCTTATGTTAAAGTCCTTTTACATTCATGATCTCTTTTTACTTTCCCAACTACCCTGAGAATTTGGCTGGACAGAAACATCCTCAAAGACAGTAACAGAGCCCCTGTGGGATGAAATGTCTTGCTCACAGTCATGGTGCTTGACAGTTGAAAAGCCAGGGTCCAACCTGGGTTCCTGGTCCCAGCTCCATGCTCCTGCCCTTGAACCTTCTGCCCAGACCCCATCCCACCTCCCAGGACCTTGCATGCTGCAGGCCACCCTGCCATCTTCCTCCTGCAACCCCAACCATTCTCCCCTGGAGGAGGCGGGCACTCCAGTCTGTGTGTGAGCCCTTGAACTTTCATCAGAGCTCAAGGCCAGGGTCAAGGGTCTATCTTCACCCAAACCCACCTTTTGAGCTTTCAAATTTGACTTCTTTCCAGAGCCTCCAGTGGAATGGCACAGAGGACTGGGGGTCTGGGCAGTTGGCCTCTGCCCCTTGCCATTATTCTTCACAACCACCTTGGGAGGAAAGTATGATTATGACCCCTATTTTACAGATGAGGAAAGGGAGGCACAGAGAGGTGAACTGACTTTCCCGAGGTCACACAATAAGTGGCAGAGCTGGGGTTTGAGCCTCGGAAAATCTGCCTCTAAGAGCTGTTCTGCCTCAGTTAATGTTATAACAACCACAGCTACCATTCAGCTAGCCCCTCACACCTCTTACGTGCCTAGCGCTCTAATTCCTCACAGCAATGCCGTCACTTAGGAATTGATGGACTCCGAATTTCTCATTTCATAGATGAGTAAATCTGGGCTCAGCAGGGGCCTGGGGTGAGGTGACTTCCGATTCTCACAGATGTTAGGTCTGTCTGAATCTGAAGCGTCCATCCTCCTCTGCCTGTTTGACCCACTGTGTGACTTTGGAGCTTTTAGAGCCTCAGTGTCCCTATGGCTTAAACGCTCTCCTCCTCCTGGCTTCCGTGCCCCAGTAAGTGTGGCAGTGGACGGGTGCCTTGCATGCTGTGGGGTGAGGGTCGCCGGGCAACTGCGGGCTCCCTCCTTTCCCCATCGACCTCCGGCCCCAGGAGAAGTCGCTGGGCGAGCCGGGAGGGAGGCGCGAGCGGGAAGATGCTGAGGGGGAAAGGTCGGTGCTGTGTCACGGAGGGGCCAGCGAGGCCGGGTAGAGAAGGCCCGTTAGCTACGATTTCGGGAAGGGCCGAAGGGCCCAGAAGTCACGTGCTCCAGGCGGTCGTGCAGGAGCAGACGGTCCTCAGGGAAAAGAGAAGCGCCCGCGACTAGAGTAGGGGGCGGGGAGGGAGCGCGGGAGGAGGCAGGCTCTGGGTAGAAGGGATGGGGGGGCGGGGGAGGCAGAGAGCACGCGGACAAAGGAGGCGGCCGGCAGCCCAGCTGTTTTGAAAAATGCTTCCTGTTTCTTTAAAGGCGCTCGCGGCTCGGGCGGCCGGGGCTGGGGAGGCGGTGGCGGCGGGAGCTGCCTCCTCTCCGGGCGGCGGCGCTGACTGATCTCGCGAACTGGGCTTCTGTGTAAACTGAGGCTAAACAAACACAGATGGAGCGCAGCGGGCGTTCTCCAGAAATGCTGGCAAGGCGGCAGCGACTTCAGATGACACTCTGAGCGCTCCGGGAACGGACAGCCCGGCGGCTTCGCGGAGCCGGCGGCGCAGCTGCCCCGGGCGAGGGGGAGAGAGGGAGAGAGGGAGGGAGGCGGGGAGGGAGGGCGAGGGAGCGGAAGGGGCGAGCCGGAGACTCCGCGGTGCTGAGCGCGGCTGCCGGGGCAGAGCGGCGAGGCGTGCAGAGCGGGCGCGGCGGGCGCGCGTCCCGGGCAGCCCCACGCCCCTGCCTCGCGCGCTGTCCGCGCCATGAAGCACATCCCGGTTCTCGAGGACGGGCCGTGGAAGACCGTGTGCGTGAAGGAGCTGAACGGCCTCAAGAAGCTCAAGCGGAAAGGCAAGGAGCCGGCGCGGCGCGCGAATGGCTATAAAACTTTCCGATTGGACTTGGAAGCGCCCAAGCCCGGCGCCACCGCCACCAACGGGCTGCGGGACAGGACCCAACGGCTGCAGCCGGTCCCGGTCCCAGTGCCAGCCCCAGTGGCGCCAGCCGTTCCCCAAAGTGGGGGCGCGGACACAGCTGGGGAGCGCGGGGGCTCCCGAGCGCCCGAAGTCTTGGATGCGCGGAAACGCGGATTCGCCCTGGGCGCAATGGGGCCAGGACTCCCCACACAGCCGCCGCCGCCGCCTCCGGCGCCCCAGGGCCAGGCACCCGCGGGCTGCGAGGCACAACCTTTCCGGGAGGCCAGCCTGCGTCCCCGCATCTTACTGTGCGCTCCACCCGCGCGCCCAGCTCCCCCAGCGCCCCCAGAGCCCACAGTGCGCCCCGCGCCCCCCACGCGCCCCGGGGAAAGTTCCTACTCTTCAATTTCACACGTAATTTACAATAACCACCCGGATGCCTCCGCGTCGCCTAGGAAACGGCCAAGCGAAGCAACCGCTGCCTCCTCCGAGATCAAAGCCCTGCAGCAGACCCGGAGGCTCCTGGCGAACGCCAGGGAGCGGACGCGGGTGCACACCATCAGCGCAGCCTTCGAGGCGCTCAGGAAACAGGTACTCGCTCGCCACCGCTTGCACTCACTGCGCCCGAGGGCGATTGCAGTAGTGGGTGGGTGAGTGGCCGGAGGGATTGTAGGGAGGATAGGGGTGTGTTTAGGGAGCAAGCTGTCCCCTCCCGGTCCGACCCCGAGGCCCAGACAGGTTTGGGCAGTCCTGGGGCAGTGACTTTGCCACAGCGTTGGTACCGAATCTTAGTTTGCAAAGTGTTGGTAAGTGAGATCTCTGGCCTGGGCATGTCACATCCCCCGCCCCCGCCCCTCGCCGTGGGTAGCCCCGTCTGCGAGTCTGACTTCATCCCTCACATTTTACTTTTATGGCAGCGAGTATTTGTCTCCCAGAGTCTCCTGGGAGCGGTGGGGAGTGGAGAGGGGAATATGGGAATCTGTCTTGGGCAAGGGAGGGGCAGACGACCTTTCCCCTCCAGGCACTTGTCGTGGCCAGGGGTCTTGGGGCCCCTGTTGGTGGTAGCAAGGCCTGGAGGCCTGGAACGCTGCGGTGGAGCAGTTCTGGGATTGTGGGGAGTATAAGGGTCCCGCAGTCCTAGGGAGCCTGTCACCTCTCTTCAGCGCCCAGCTCCCAGTGGGGATGCCTGTACGTTCAGGCTGATTCTAGGCTCTGCACCCCTGGCCCTGGCATCCTTAAGAATCTGGGCTGCAAACCTATGCCCCCTCCCCAGGGGTGGCTTCTAAAATTGGCTGGTGGGAGTCTTCCCAGGGGGTCCCTTCCACCCCACTCTTCATCCCGTGGTGAAGCAGGCACCTCTGCTGAGGGGACCAGTTAGTTAGGGGATTCCCTCTGGCGGATCTGCAGAGCTTCGTTCTGGGGTAAGTCCGGGACTTCTTAGTTTGAGGCTGATGGGGGCTTCCCTCACCAGACAGTGCCCCTGCCAGGGTGGTGGAAGAATACTTAACCCGAGAATTACCCATGGTGGGAAGGAGCAATTTACAAGTACACATTATACAAGGTTGGCACTGCCCTGGGGTTCCAGACTTCTCATTTTCTTAGAGAGATGGGAGATCTAGGAAGGAGGCGGCAAGTGCTCACCCCCACCCCACACAGAGCATGGGGAAGGGTTGCAGGTGGATGTGACTGATTTGAGGAATGAGGGTTTTTTTGTTTTGGTTTTTTTGCATGCTTTGCAGCTGACTTGCTGTATTACTCCAGGAAAGTTTCTCAACCTTTCTGGGCTGTAGCTAACAGCAAAACATTTCAGAAACCATGCTCTTCTTTTTGGATCATACTCTCCTCTTCCTCCTGGGGAGCGGGGTGGGGCACTGGTTCCTGAGTCTGTCCATGGAAAGGAAATTGAACTCCGGGGCAAAGAGGCCTTATGGCTTTCGGGTCAACATGTCTTGCTTGGGCTTGGGAGAGATGTTTGGTCAGTGAGGTGGGGAGAGGGTGGGGCGTAGGTGGTTGTCACAGACCAGGCTGGGCCTCTGCCTGCTGCCACACTGGCTGAGACCCTGGGCAGTGGGCACAATGGAGCAGTCAGTCTCACCCTGGGCCAGTAGTTTTGTGTCTGCATGCCTGGGTAGGGGTGGCAGCCTGTGGGGTGTCCTGCAACCCACTCCCTGAGACAGAAGGATGACAGAAGGGCAGAGAGATGCCTGTCCACCTGCTCACTCTGCAACTAGGGAAGCACCTCCCAGATTGGGGAGGCCACGTGCCCAGAGCCTCACAGCTGGTGAGTAGCAGGGCAGGGCTGGCACCTAGGTCCTTTGACTGCCAATTCAGTGCCCTTTCTAACTTCCCAGCTGCCTCTTTCTGTTCTGAGTGACAGAATATTCATCTGAGTGCTCTATTACATCTCATTTGTCCAGGGGCTTTTACTTCTTTCAACAATAAATTCCGTCTTATTTGATCTTAACAATATCCCTATCTGGATTGGATCAATTCATTTTATGGAATGGAAAATGAGGCCCAGAGAAGGAAGGAGACTTGTCCAAGATCACCTAGTGGGTTGGGGAAGACGACAGCAGTTTCTGGAATGCATGCCTAGCAAATGCTTCCCACAGTGCCGTCCGTATCAGCATCGTGGACTCTCCCCAACCCCGGCCCATGATGTTTGTTAATAATCGAGGCTGGGTGTACACTTGGCAGACTCCCTGAGATTATTAATCCTGGTCTCCTTTAACTTCCACCCTTCCCGTGGGAAGTTCTGTATAAAAGGGACAAATTCAGCGTGTCTAAGCAGAAGGCGAAACCCAAGCCCTTTCAGGGAGAGAGTGTGTACGCACACATAAACACACAGGTACACACACCCATGAGCATGCACGTGCTCATGACACGTGCCCAAGAGCACACACAAATGCATGGTCATGGAAGCACAAATACATGGTCACAGAAGCACCTGCTTCTATTTGTTTCCTCCTTGCTGCAACCATCTGACCCTTCCCTAAAAAGGCTGCTATGCCATGGTGGATATCTGCCTGTTATCTGAGAAGGAAAGAAATATAGTGCATTTCTGGTCACAGAGCCAGGGGCCGAGGCCACACCTACCATGTCCCTACCATGTTCCCACCACCACAGCATCCATCTAATGGAGTCACATGCTCTGGAGGAGCTACTTCCTCTTCCGATCCTCAGTCTCCCCTGTAAAATGTACCTTTCCCCCTGTCCCAGTTCAGACTGGCCGGAGCTCTGGATCTAGGCTCAGGCCTGCCTGTTGGCAATGGGCCCTTGGGAAGGGAGGAAAGGCATACGCGTGGCTCTGCCCACAATGGGGCCATGGCCAGTGTGGTGCTAAGATCGGTTCTGGGATCATGGCTCTGATCTGGGGCTTCATTTTCCTGAGCAGCTTTCTGGTATGATGAAAGGAGCACTGACCTGGGAGTCTGAAGGCCAGGCTTTGAGTCATGTCTCTGCTGCATGCTTTCTGTGTGGCTGTGGACGAGTCACTGTCGCTCTCTGGGCCTCAGTTGCTAAAGCTGTAAAACGGTAATATCACTTACCTTGTCCACAGCTTCTTTGCAAAGAGCCAATGAGGAAAGGAATGGGAGGTATGACAGCAATGAACATTTCTTAAACATCTCCAAGGTCCTCGGGGCTGCGGAAGTTTCTCGACAGATGTAGCAATAAGAACTCTTTAATCGTTTTAGTAACAATCACGGGAACTACTGTTTATCAGATACTTTATGACAGGCACTATGCTAAGCATGTTATGTGTACTGGTTCATTTAATAAATAGGTATCGTTATCATGCCCCTCCATCCCTTGCCCTATTTCACAGATGGTGACACTGAGATTCAGAGAGCTTACATAAGTTTGCTGAGGTGTCCTAGCCTTTTGCCACAGCCTGTGGCCTCATGGATTTTTTGCTGCACGCCACTTTGGTGTGCTGTTCACCAGACTCCAGTGTGGTGTATGGCACCATACAGTCACAGCCTGCATAGCTGCGTGTCGCTGTCCTTGCACAGCCTGGATTTGAATCAGGGCTCTTGAGGCTTTTAACAGCTCTGTTCCTCAGCCTGTCTAATGCCCTGGAGCCATCCAAACTCAGCAGGCGGAAGCCAGACAGGCTCCTGTTTTGTCATGATCCACTATCCTCTCAACCAGAAGGGAGCAGGGGAGGGCAGGCTGCATGGCCGCCTGCGAGGTGCAGGTGGGGAGAGGCCCTCTGGCCTGGTGGGGGCTGTGCAGGGCAGATGGTCAGGCTGCAGCACATGCCACCAGCCCAGCTGCACCAGAGCCCTCCCTGCTGCCTCATGTGAAGGCCATGTGTGCACAGCTGGGCCTGGCCCCTGTGCAGGGCTGCTCCCTGCCAGCTGGGAGGGGTCGGAGGGAAAGGCTGGCCTTTCTGGGTGGTGAGAGGAGGGGCTGGAGTGGCAGGACCTTCTGTCTCACAAGCTGTGCCCCCCCCCCCCCGGGGTATCTGGTGTGCGTGTGGATTTCCTCTCTCCTCTTGAAGCCCCTCAGCGTTGTTGGAGGGATGGTAGCATTGGAAGATGGTGAGGGGCTGTACCTCCCTGCTGTCCCTAGAGTCCCCCAGGGGTCCTCACCAAGTGAACTCAGGGTGGCCCAGGAGGGGGATTGGGGAGTATGCCCCCAGCTCAGCACTTCCCTAACTCTCAAACCCCACAGGTAAAAGGGAGATGTGGAAGGGGGGCCAGGCAGCCTGTGCTCATCCCCTCGGGCAATGGGGACAGGCCTGCTTGCACTGGGCCGCATGCAGGTACATAAGGGTGACAGAGGCCTTTCTCCTAGTTCATCATGTCCTCAGTTACCAGGGTAGTTCCTTGTTGAGCCCCATTGCATCGGGCGAGGTGTCTTACCTGGGCATGCTGTTGCATATCTATGGTGCTACCTCCCCATGTTACAGATGAAGACACTCATAGAGAGGTTGCAAATTGCTCAAGGTCACAGAGTGGCAAGGATCTGTACCCAGGCTTGTCTGGCCCTGGGGCTACAGGTCTTAACCACTAAGACCCAGGTTCTCAGGGGCCAGCCTCGTGGCTGTGTAGGAGGTTGGGATTTTAAAGGACCTATTGAAATAGATCTTGAGAAGGACCTTGAACAGCTCTGGGTAGAGTGGCTTCACCCCAGAAATCCGGCACTCACTGACACGAGATGATTAGAGAACAGTTTCAGGTGAAATCAAGTGCTCAGCTGAGTGGACACAGTACTGTTGGAGCTCTGTCGGCCCAGGAGTCTTGGTGGCCTTCCAGGAGGGCTGAAGGGTGGGCAGGAGTTGGCACAGAAGCAAGAGGGCGGAGGGCTTCGAGGCCTTTCCTGCATTCTCTGGCAGGTTCTTGGCTTTGTTTCTTTATGGTGCTTTCCCATGGTTGCCCACTGGGGTCCCATTCTGAGGTGGCGATTTTATTGGTGAGGAAACTGAGGTTCTGTAAGGTTCTGGATCTACCTAAGGTCACATGGGTGGCCAGGGGTAGAGCCAGGCCTTCGGACTCCCGGGTCAGTGCCCTTCCTGCTTTTTCCTGCTTGCTGGAGCTCGGAGAGGGTCCAGCTGGGGGTGGGTGGGATGGAATGTTTTGGGGGTATGTGGGGGCCTTGCGCAAATGCCAAAACCTGCTCCTCTGAAGTTGAAAAATCCTTGTGGGATGAGCATGAGGCAGATCCTTTTCCTTTCCTGGAGGTTGGGCAGTCTGTTGGGAGGGGGAGCCAGGTGGTTCTGCCTCCTCCTCTGGCCTGTGTCCTCCGATCAGGGTGAGCAGACAACCGCTGTGGGGTCCTCTGCAGGTGGCGTGGGTGGGTGGGCTCTGGGCCTTGTTGTGGATGCTCAAAGAGGTAATGCACAAAGGCCAGGGGCTCATGGCATCATCAGTCCAGTACTTTCCATCACCACCTCAGAAGGATGGGCTGTCTACCTCCTCACCTTAGGCTATAGATACTATTCTAAATCTCTAAGCAGTTCCTGCTGGCTCTTTGGAAAAAGCCCAGCTAACCCACAAGTTCAAAATCCAGCCTATCTCTCACCAGCTGAGAGATCCAGAGAGTTGCTACATGCCTGGAGGTCACATGCTTCTCTGTAAAGTGAAAGTGATCATTTCTACCTCATTGGGCTGCTTAAAAGATGAATATAGACACTGCATTCGGAACACCCATCCTCTTCCTGGCCTTAGTAGATCACGGTAAACAGTGAGGCGGCCAGGTCTCAGTGGTCATAGAGGGCTGCGCTGCACAGACTCTGGCATGAGTTGCTGTCTGTAGTCCCCGCAGCTGGGTGCGGTACACAGCATTGTTGTCCCCACTCCCCAGATGGGAGTACTAAGGCTCAGAGAGGTGGAGGCACTTGCCCAAAGTCACACTGTTAGTAAGTGCCTGGAATTCAGACCAGCTCTTTCCGCCCTACATTGGCCTCCCAGAACCAGAGCTGGTTGCTAGATTCTTGCTTTGCTAGGGTAGCCCAGGCCAGGGTGTCTCTCAGCTGGGCTGTCTGGGGCCGGGTGGCTGCATCCTGGGGTTTGGGTGCCAGGAGGGTCTGAGGAGCCACCCTGGAGGTAGGGGAGGAGTAGGGGGAGCTACCTGAAAGGAGCCCTTGGTGTCCCATATATGGCCACCTTTTATGGTGGCAGCCAGGGGAGCCCAAAGGCCATGTGCCTTCCTTGGGTGGCAGTCAGACGAGCTTCTGGCTCCAACCAGCATGATCTGGGGCCCAATAGTCACCTCTCTGTTTCCTCATGTGCAGATGGGAAAATAATCTTTATTTGGGGGGAAGGTTTTAAATAGGATAATACTACCTGTAAGTAGCTACAACAGTGCCAGATATATGAGAGCTTAATAGATGGTTTTCTTCTTGTTAGACCTGGAGCTTGACAGAAGCAATGGGACAAAGTGGCAAATCTGGAACAAAACCGGCCTCTAACCTGGCATGGGGCCCCTCGGTTGGCCTTGGCCTCATATGTTGCTCTGTAGTCCTGCAGTGACCCTGGGTGGCAGCGTGCAGATCCCTCCCACGATCCCCGCTCCCTGCTGGAAGCCCAGCTGTCCAGGGCCAGGGACTCAAAGAGCTGGGTGTTTATGGGAAAGCCTCAGCAGGACATCTGAGTGAAAACAGTGTGAGGGGCTGTGTCACGGATCTGTGCCCAGTCCCCAGAGCCTCCCCTGGGCCAGCATACCCTCCCACAGCAAGGAGGCAGAAGTGCTGGCTGGCTGGCCCCTGAGACCCTCTTCCCTGCCCCAGGACGGCCAGACCTTGTTTATTTGTTCAGGCTGATAAAGCAGGATTTTCTGGACTCTGGTTAGGAACCAGCACAGTGCATTGTTCTGCCAGCTTCTCTTGGACGGGTTTGGAGCTGCGGCCGGGGCTGGGAGTGGGGTGTGGAAATGTATGGGAGTTGACTTTCTCTCTCTGTCGCCCCCTCCTCCTCCCTGGGTTTCCTAGTCTCTGGACCCACCAGGGTTGGAGGGTGGGGCAGACGTGTGTCCTGGCTCCAGACCTCCTGCTTCTCACCCTTTCTGGATGCCCTTTGTGGGGACCTTTTGCAACACCGACTGCAATAATTTCAGGGCCCTCTGTCAGGCCTTACCCTGCAGTGCATACGTCATCTCGTCTAATCCTTACCTCCTTGGGGAGTCAGTCCTGTTCCCAATATGAGAAGGACACTGAGGCTCAGAAAGATTCTGTCCCTTGCCCAGGGTCTTCTAGGCAGAGCCAGATCCAGGAGTTGAACTCAGGTGACAGAAGGGTATGCGTGCTTAGGCTGTGTGCCAAACACTAAATCTTCATCCTCAGAGAGAAGAAAGGTTTTTGAATCCAGTTCAGAACATTCTGGAGTAGTTACGGAGGAGATCGTTCATTTGTTCACTCACTCCCTCAATCAACAGACCCCTTCCAGAGCCTGGTATGAGCAGGGCCTGTGCTGGGCTCTGCAGGCCTGGCCTTCCCCCTCAGCTCGCAGGGAGGGGACAGTATGGGCCGTCAAGGACAGATGGGTGCTGTTAAGGGCAGGCTCTCTTGGCGTAGGGTGTGGCTGGGGAGGTCAGGGGTAGCTCTTGGACAAAGTGAGGTTTAAAGTGAGATCAGAGTGGGTGATGTATTTAGTGTCCCCAATCTGAGGTGACTGCCTTGTCCATGCTTTATCCCCGGGGCCTGGAATAGAGATTTCCATCCTTGGCACTGTCAACATTTTGGGCCAGGTAATTCCTTGTTGTGGGGGGCAGGATCCTGCTCATTGCAGGATGTTTAGCAGGGTCTCTGGCTTCTCCCCACTCCATCTCCCCCTCCCTGTGATGATAACCAAGAATGTCTCCAGACATTCCCAACCATCCTTTGAGGGACAAAGTCATTCTTGATTGAGAACCACCGGCCTAGAAGAGTGCCTGGCATATGGGGGGTGCTCACTAAATACTTGTCATGTGGATATGCCGTGTGGTCCCCGTCTCTGTGGGATATGGGTTAATCAGTGACATGGGCTCCGCATATAGATCCTGAAGAACCACAGGGAAAAGGAAACCAGGACCCTTGGTTGCTGGGTTTTTAGCCATTTAGGTGGACAACACATCATAGGGACAGTGGGATCTATTGGTTAGTGCCCATCAGACACATTTCGTGGAGATATTTCCACATCACAACACAGAACTCTGTTCCATTGTGCCACAGTCTTCGTGACTTTTTGCTCATGCAGCACTAGTGTTGGTAGATGATGTTAAAAAGTTAGAGGCTCCATCTCGTCACCCCATACAAATCCCTATGCAATTTTAGTAAGCATCTAGTTGGTGATGAATCATTGACAGACGGGTCAAGTTTGTTTGGGGCTGTATTTACTATGCAATTTTTGTCCGCCCAGCAGCACCCTAGGTCCAGAGGGCATATAGAAAAAGATAAAAAAAGAAAAAGGAAACCAACCGTGTTTGTGTCTTTCCAGCTGAGCACTGACGCTTTCCTTCCTGTGTGTTCCCAGAGTCCCAGGTGCCTACCTCCGTTATGACATTACATCAGTCTTGAGTGTAAGCTCGCTGAAGGCAGGAATCAAGTTACTAATTGTTGGACCCCTCAAGTATCCAGCAAAACAAGTGTTGCTGAATGAATGAATGGAACATCAGAGCTAAAAAAAATGTCTATTCTTTCAGAGACACTCCTTCTCAGGGAGAGTGGAGGACAGAGCTCTGTCATGATGGAAATTCACTGTGCTTTGATTTGGATGGATTGAATGAGCTGAGCCTCAGTTTCTTCCCCTGCAACATGGGGATGCGGCTGTGTCCCAGAGCAGATGCCCCGAGATGTGTGTGTGTGTAAACAGCAGGTCCTTGGAACAGATCATAAAATCAGGGTGGAGGGCCCAGGTGTACCTCAGACAGGCCACCTCCTCCACACCTGCCAGGCCAAGGGGGGTGTGGGGGTTGTTCGCTCAGCACAGAGACCCCTGCAGACCATCCTGACACCTTCTTTTCCCAGGTGCCATGCTACTCGTATGGGCAGAAGCTGTCCAAACTGGCCATCCTGAGGATCGCCTGCAACTACATCCTGTCCCTGGCGCGGCTGGCTGACCTCGACTACAGCGCCGACCACAGCAACCTCAGCTTCTCCGAGTGTGTGCAGCGCTGCACCCGCACCCTGCAGGCCGAGGGACGTGCCAAGAAACGCAAGGTATGTGCCAGCTGCTCGTGCAGTGGCCTGTGGGGAGGGCTGGGGAGGCAGGAAGAGGAACTTGGGGTGCCCTGCTCATGCCCAGGATTCTGAAGGGGCCAGAGAGATCAGCTCTTGGAGGTTTGCTGGAGGTCGCCCCAGCTTCAGGGCTCCTCACATCCCTGGGATTATGAGTGTGACCCTACTCCTGGTAATAAGGCTTCTGGGTGACCTCGGACAGTCACCCAGGGTCTCTAGGCCTGGGTTTTCTCATCACTGAAATGCGGAGGACTGTTTAGCTCTGAAGCCCTTTCTGGCCTTAGGTGCTCTGGTGCAAAATTCCCCGTGTGGTCCTCTCAGGACAAGATTCCCCTGAGCAGGGTGACTCCCAGGAGAACCCTTTGGCAGGTTTTGGGAAGGTGACTTGGCCTATGGGTTACCTGAGGCTGTGCATTAAGGCAGGTGATACTCATTCATTTATTCACTCATTCATTCATTCATTCTGGAGAGGTTTACTGAGCCCCAACCATGTGCCAAGCAAGCTGGGTGGCAGAATAAAGATGATAAACTTATGGTCCTGGTCCCCATGCAGAGAGACCCTCCTGTAAGTAGATAAGGGCAGGACTGTGGCTGTGCAAGGGGTGGTGGAAGGCCAGGCAGAGGAGGGACAGGTTAAGACTTCTGTCCCAGGGAGCTTGAAAGGGCATCTTAGTGTAAGTGGTGTTTGAGCTAGGACTGTCAGGACAACCAGGAGGTCACCGGGCAGATGAAGGGTGGAACAGCATCCAAGGCAGAGGGAACAGCTTATACAAAGCTTGCTGTGCTTGGGAAGTGTGTGCAAGAGGAAAGGTGTTGGGCACAGCTATGGTCTCCAGATGGCCTGTGCTTCAGGCATTTACAGTCAGGGTAGTGCTAAGCAAGGCTCATTGCAGCCCTCTGAGTCTGTTTCCGTGTGGCTGGAGGGAGCAAGACAGAGAGCGGGGCCTGGTCTGTGTCTGTGAGGAGAGATGCTGGCAGCCCTGGAGCAGGAGGGCTCCCCTGGCATTCAGGGAGCTTGGTGACTCTGTCATCCTCCATCCATTCTTCCTTCCTGGCCTGCCCCTCCCCCTTATCCTGACATCCCTCCCCTGGATCCCCTTTCAGGCAGGCCCCTTGGTGGGTTCTCTGGGGTTTCCCAGAGGCCCCCCATGGACGCCCAGGCCCATACCAGGGAGGGCCGAGGCACCTCATCACCGCCAGCCCTGCCGCTAATTGAACCTGCATTCCTGGGAGTGATTTAATGTGGACCAATTAGATGAAATCCTCATCAAGTGGGTGAGAGAGGAAGCGCCACTGGCTGCGCTGGGCGGCTTTCCTCTGGAAAGTGACCGGGTAAATGAAGGCGTGATTGATGGCTCCATGCGGCGCTGTGACAAAGGAGGTTCGTAAACTCTCGGTGAACTTCCCCTGGCATCCAGGCCGGTTGTTGGAGGTGTGGATGGGCAGGGTGGGCAGGCGCCCTGTCCCCTTCCCGCCCCAGTTGCCCGGCCCCCGCCCCCGCACCCTGCCTCCCCCTCTTCACCATGGAAAGGGGTGCTCGGAAGCCCCCTCCCTCCGCTGGCTCCTTGCCCAGAGCAGGGTCCTGGGCTGGGAGGAGGCTGCCCCCGCCAGTGAGGAAGAGGAGCAAGTAGGGTGAGGAGCCCTGGCAGAGCGGTGTTTTCAGTTTCCCCCAAAGTCACCTCAAATCTAAGGCACCAACCTTCCCATTGTGCCGATTGGGAGGCTGAGGACACAGATTGTGGTTAAGCACACCCAGCAGCCCTGGGCTCGAGTCCTGGCTCACTACTGACCTGTTGTGTCATCCGGATGCATCTCTTACCCTCCTCCAGCCTGTTTGCTCATTGATAAACACGGACAGTGGAAAACACTCACTCGTGGGCCACCTTGAAGATGGAATGAGTCACGGTGGGAGAGCGCGGGGCACCCGGGGCGTGTTTGTGGTGGCGCCCTCACGGCCTCCCCACCCTCAGGTAATGGGACCTGAAAACACTTGCATTTGAACTTGAGGCTCATCCTGCGGGGCCTACTTAACTTAATTGCCTTGGAGGGGCTTTGGGGGCCAAGGGGGCAGTTCCGGGGTGGGAATAGTCTCTTTCTTCTCCACTCTGCCCCCAGCCAGCCCAGGCCTGAGGGCACCTCCCGACTCCTGACCTCACTCTGCCTGTGGTGGGTGTGAGGAGGTCACCCCGCTGGGTGTCTTTGCCGTGATGACCTTCATGGCCTCACAGGCTCACATCATATCCATAGTGACACACTTCCCGAATGAAGACACTCAGGGATCAGTGGGGACCAGTGTTCATATTGGAGCCCCCCAGACCTCTCCCTGCTTCGGTAGTTTTATCTGGACAATCACGATTTGGCCCTGTAGCCGCTGCAGGCGTGGGCTGTTGGTGTGTCCCAGGCAGTCAGATTGCTTCTCGTCTCGTGACCCCTGGTGTTCCTGGAGCCCTTGTGCACTCAAGCACCCTCTTTTAGGCCCCTATGACCCACCTTTTGGGCACCTGTGCTTTTGCTGCCCGAGTCTTTAATTGCTAGTTGTCATCCTCCTTCTGTCTGTCTGTCTCTCCTACCCTGGGTGTGCTGCCCCCCTCTTTCCCCACCCCCTTGTTTGGGATGTGTGGCATCACACTGAGACCAGCGTAGCTGGCCTGAGCTAGCCTCTCTCGGCAGATGTTCTGCTCTGGGGGTGGATTCACGGGGTCCTGAGACTGAGTGGCCTGGAGCCCCAGGAGAGGGGGTTTCCTGCCTCCTTCAGGCCCCTTGCCCTGACCTTTTGTTTGGAGGGTTGAGATGGTTTGAATGGGGAGCACATCTTTAGATGGGTCCTGGCTTTTGAGTTGTAATTGGAACCTCGCTAGCTTTATCTTCCTCCTTTTGTGGCCACCCAGCCTGGACCTCTGAGGCCCCACCTCCACTTACCAAGGTTCTGTTTGGGGAACCAACCACCAGGACAATTAGACCAACTAATATTTTTTCCTCATGTGTGGGACTATTTCTGTGAAAAGGCTTACAAAGTTCTAACGGTAAATGGCACCTGGTTACAAGTTTACGGGGAGAGACTGAGGACATGCTCAGGTGAGAGAGGACGTGCCACTGACTGCTGTGGGGTAGCCTTCCTCTGGAAGTGACTTTCTTCTGGTACATGAAGGACGTGATTGATGGTACCCGAGGGGAAGCCAGGAACTCATGGCAGGTGCAGGAAGAGCCCCCTCCTTCCCACCCTCCACCTTCTTCAGCTGGTGTCCATCCCCTTGTAGGATATGTGACCACTGCAGGGGTCCCCAAGCAAGAGACAGGGCTCTTAAAGCTCTCCTTGGTACATACACCCTCCCCTCCCCGCCTTCCTTCTGTGGATAGCTATTGACCACCCTCTATGTGCCAGACACAGCATAGGTAGTGTAGGCACAAAATAATTTGCCACAGAGTCCCCACCACCGAGTGGCAACTGAACACTCTTTGGTCAAGAGGGTTTGGAAATCAGGAGTGGTCAGGGTGAGAAAAAGGAAAAGCAAAGAGAATTCTTGCTTTCGACATAAGCCTCCAGCAGTCAGCTGCCACCAGGAAGCTGTGTTGTGGGCCTCGTTGGGCAGGAAAGCCAGGGAGATCACCCAGAGCCCTGCTGGGGCATGAGGGGATGGAAGAGGAGTGAGAACTAGAACCTTCCATCCAGGGGTCTGCTCTGCCCTTTCTGGGTCTAGAGGTATGTTCGTGGGCTGGATTGGCATGCAGTCCCTGTGCTACCACCCTGGGGCTCGCCTTTGAGAGGGCCCTGAGCCTGGGCGCTTGGGCCCAGTTTGGTTCTGAATGGCATCGTGAGTGTGTAGTTTCTTTGCAGGACCTGACTTCAGTCCCTCTCACTCAGGGCTGCTGGGGTCCCTTGCTGTTCTTCCCTGGAAGATGAGATGACCACCCAGGTCTACTTGCTTCCCAGCCCCTTCCTACCAAAAATGAGCCATGCTGGAGTCCGTTGCCCCCTCCATGTGTCTATGGTTGTGGAAGCCCACCTGGTTAATTAATTCCTGACCAGGTGTGTGTGGTGAGGGACAGCTTCATGGTCACCCTCCTAGCAACTCAGTTGCATGTTAACTGAGGTTTAAAGCCTTAGGCCCAGCAACTCTGATGATGGGCATGCCAGGCAGGGCTGCAGGAGGCTGGGGGGAGCAAAGGTTTGGGCCTCCAGGCTCTGGGGACAGTGGGCAGATGTCTGCTGGAATGATGACAGTCATCACCACAGTGATTGATGGCTATTTGAGCCACCCACATGGGGACTGCTCCTCAGAGTCTATGTCCACAGGAGGCTGGGTGACCCTCCTTCAGGACAGCTCCTTGGGAGGTTGAGCCCCCAGTGTCCTCAAGTGTCCTCTGAGGTCCCATGCATTTCTCATGAGCTGCCCTGTCCCTCCAGGCTTGCGTTAAGAATGGGATTTAAAGTGCACTGGGCTCACCCGCTAGACATCCTCTGCCCATCTCAGCCCTTCCTGGCAGGGGAGTTGAGGACCCCAGGCCAGTGAGTCCTCCCTTTCTGGGCCTCACAGGATGTGACTTTGAGGGTTCAGAGCCCCATTTAGAAGCCCCAGTAGTACAGAGGGCTGTGTCAGAGGCCGCCCAGCAGAGAGACAGGCGGGAGGGGTGGAAGGCTCTGGAGAGTTCAGTTCTGACTCGGCTGCAGCTGGAGATAATGCACGTTAAGCACCTGGCGCTGGGCCACGTTTCTGCAGCTCCTGTTTTTAAAGCAGCAACTCCTGGGAGCTTCTGAGGAGGAGGAGGAGGGGGATGAGGAAGAGCAGGAGGAGGCAGAACTGTTCTTCTACACCTGGGCTGGGCGGGCCTCGCCAGACCTGCCGAATAGGAAAGGGCCAATTTTCTACAATCTAGGGCACCTCTGTCCAGCGATTTGAAGCCATTGAGTAGTAATAATAATAACAACAGCAGCAGTGACTAAACTTAACAGCATATTTTGAGTCTTGGTAACAAAGTCCCTG